GGCGCTCGTGGATCCAAGCTATTGCCTTCAATGCATAGCTCCTTTTCCAACCCCTCCACTTGACAGCCCACTGACAGTGCTGGATTTATGCACCAATTTTCCAGCTCGCGCATGCAATGCGCAGCTACCTGACCCCAATCATCGGTGAATGAAACTGCGGCAGCTACAACCACTGTACGACGAGTACGCGGTTCTTACTGCTGACAATGATGATGATGATGATGACCGGTTCTCTTTCGCGAGTCCCACTGAAATATCTGTTGGAGTTGCCTGAGTGCGTCGCGGAGTTTCTTATTTAGCATAGGCTTGGCTAACAAGCATTTGAAAACTAAATAACATCGTATTGCTTGTAGACAGCTCAAGCGGAACATGAGATTAATTATGTGCAAATGAGATGAAGGTAGTTACTTTATTTTGTCTTACTGCAGAGAATGTATAAACAAGATAGTCTTACTACTTTGTGACGCTCCGGAGTTCTACTGTTGTCTGACGAGGAAGATCCTACAAACACTGCAGAACAACGCTTAGCCACAACCCTGAAATGTACGGTAGAATAGCGACATACATTTCCTGCAGTTTCAAAGACAGAATCGAATATCCCACTCACGTAAAACTTACCCCATCTCTGATGTGTACAGTTCTCATAGAAAGGCCCAATAATTACGCGCGACTGTACTGACGAGTACGGCTTAAAAGGCACTTTTTACTGTACCAAGTGTAAAGACGATTTTCAGCTGCAGAATTCCACTGTTTTCATTGGATGGTTCTTCAGCATCCACCGGCATACCTTCACCAGAAATCATAGAATTTCTGTGTGTCACTCAGAGCACAACGTATGCACAGGAACCCTAATTTATCTGCTCGAAGAAGGTACAGCTCCCATTTAACGGTACACTTTACTCGCAGTTACTGGGATTCACCACGAAGGTATCCTGTGTTTGATTCTAGCTGATACATTTATGATACAGCTAGAAAGCAATACAGTCATCACGGTAAGATCTCTGAAAGTTTACAGGAATTTTCGTAGACCAAAATCTGTCAGTATTTGAGTCAACGACAGACTTTATGTTTATTTTGGAAGCACTTGGAGAAACACATTCCTTCATTATTATTTCTCATAAAAACGGGGCGCATAAAGAAACCTGCACTTTTGGAACAGTCTATGGAGGTCTGTATACCAAATTTACCTGGTTTCTTAGGAGAATGTACGGCACCAAACGAAAGAGATGTAACCACCGTGGTATCGCTGTATTCTACCTGTCTGTGTCTGTAATACAAAAAAAGATTTTTAGAAACTAGTTCGCACAGAATCTCAAGAAGATCGTTTAATGCATATTTTAATTGGTCATCCAACGTATCTTCTTCAGCAGTTCCTCAGATTTAGACAACTATTGAGAGTCTGACTGCTTCGTCAAGTTACTCCTGTAGAGTCCCCTACACGATCCAAGTGTGTTGTACAAAGGAACATCTGGACCTCGGAGGCTGCGCCTACCCGATGAAACCCAAGAAGGGCGAAACCGGTCGTGGGTTCTCGAAGAGTTTTCAGCAACTTTGTGAGTAGTTTTCTTTATGAAAATATCTGAGCATATTCAATTTGGGCTGACGAAAGATCCCATACGACGCTACAGTTAGGTTTTGGTCCATCCGATAGTTATAGGACATCACATGCAGAATTATGTAGGGAGTCAATCTAAAAATTCCAAGACTGGTAAGAACGCAGATGTTGATTAAAATCGAATGTCACAGTCCGCTTTCTCAAACCAGAGCTCTGTATCCGTCACGTTTGCCCTAGCTTGACCACAATGGCGTAGAAGTCACGTGCCTTAAAATAAACTGGGTACTATCATACATCCGCAATAAACTTCGCACAACACTTGACCCAAACGACTTCTTCGATCCATTGTTACTGTGGTCAGTTGACCCCTATTTTGCTTCATCTGACCTATTGTTTCCATCAATTATTCGCTTGTGGACGAATGCTTTATTAAGCTTTGTGTAAGACCCAGTCTGATAATGAGCTACTGAAAAGAATTCCTTCGTTATTCATTTTTTTATAATTTCTGTACCCGGACACCACCTAAAATGTAATGTAAGTGGTTTTTCCGTTTTTAATTGCCTTTAGCTTGGCTTGGCTGCAAACGGTTCTGTATTTTAACGGCCATTTTCAGAGGAAAAACTGTAAATCTGTGGTCCACCCAAGTACAGGAACACGAATGTTGAGGGCAAAGTTTCTTACGTGTCACATTACTTCTGTCTTTGTGAGACCCAGTGACATGCTTTTACGGTTTTTTTTTAAATTTGGGAAAAACACGGTGGAACTTTCAGTAAGATAACTTCAAGGCATGATATATCTGTGCTCCGAAATTTGTGCACAATTCGCACAATTTCCTGTTCAAAATTTAACGATGATAATATACTTATCCAAAAGGACCAAAAGGTTTTCAAAAAGATGACTAGTCAGTTAGCAAAAGCAAAATATCAGGGCTAATCAATAACCCAGAGAAATCAAGGAAAATCTTGTCAGCTGGATCTGAACAGAAACTATAACAAATGACCTAACTAAGGTCACCCACCCTCTTATTATGGGCTGCTCGTCAAGACAAGCAGTCACAATACTAAAATGGTTCATGGTTTTTGAGATGCCGGGACCCGCCTATGAACAGAGTTCTTCGGTAAGCATATGACGGAAACACCACCGGAGAAATTTGCCCGAGGACTTCAAAGCTTATGGTGCTTCTAATTAGGATCGACAACTTTGGTAACGATATGACATTTTTCAGTAAACAGCGCAGAATACAGTTTAGTAGTGAATCCATTACTGCGATACAGTTGTGAAACATAACCAGCGTGTTCTGATGACTGCCTGTTCACTACCAAAAGTGCTTCCAAATCATTGCACACACTGTGAAAACGCCGGCTAGGTAATGCTTAATGATGACGGTTAGTTCTTCGACAAAGATTGAGTACAAGACACCCTGGAAATCTATTTTTAGTGTTTCAGTCAGACTCCGTGGAGTTTCGTGAGATGCTCAAGCTTGATGATCCTCAATTAGGATGAAAAGCTGTACAGCGATATTCGGGTTCCTACCATAGTTTGGCCGCACCTACAGGATGAGATTTCCGCCAGAATTCCAAAATTTCCTCACACTACCATCAGTCTATCAGTAGCTCAGATGGGAATATAATTCACACGACGAGTGAAGCTTCCATTTGAGAAGTCGTCACTCGAGGAGCCGTTCAACATATGTGGCCACGTGATGTGGACTTTTTTACCGAAAAACGTGTGGGTTTATGCCGTGTCTGAGTGCGAGTTAATCATACTACTGATCAGCTGCTCGTGGTTGAACGGTGAAATGTTCAAACTACTAGGCGGAAGGTCGCGTGTTCGAAACCATGGATTCTCGTTAATTGCGTATTGCTGGTGACTTCGAATAAGAATGAAATAGCTTTCACGGCTTTGCAGTATACAGTGACTCCATTCACAGGATCAGAACTCCAAAACTTCTTCATGCTCAGTTATTCAATCATTCTGGAAGCCTCCAGCCACTTATGTGAAGCGATTGAACGCGATCAACGCAGCCGATATGCTGATAACTGATTTGACTGAAAGTAAATTCAGAGTTGATAAGACATGGCTCACGATCACGCTTGGGTTGGCGTACAAGCTGAGCCTAGTCATCCCCAAAAGCCTGAAGATTTCTCGCAGCCAACGACGACTATGGCCCCTAGCCTAGTTCTGAAAATCAACCCATCGATTGTCTTAAATTTCACCCCATTTTTTGCAGTTATTAAGCACTATCCTTATTAAACACTTCACACACTTGACCGGGAATGGAAATGCGTAGGTGATAACCACTATATTGTAGGAAGTATGTCTTACGTGGAGTCGTGTCATGACAGGTCGAAAAATAGCTTAGTTGCATGCTAATTACTGTCTTTACATGAGTTTAGAGGGAAGTAATCCAACAAATTCTCAGGAGAAGTAATTACTTCATACGTTTACCACGCATCAGGGTACTTAAAAGAATGTCAACTTAGGACTGTAATTTATCTTCACGCGCAGATGACGTTCATTTCACGGAGAAGTAGTTTCCACAAACGGTGGCATAAGAGAAATTTTTATTACAGTGCTTGGAGCGAGCTGCAGACAGTCGCTTCAAGTGTCAAAACGCGTTTTAAAATTAATTCGCTGTCACCGCTTCCACTCTGTACATATCTCTCCGATTATCAAATAAATGACCCAAAAGGAACAAGGTATGTCCAAAGTAGTTCCCAAGCAGCTACTCAATAAGTACTATCCTATCGAGTTAGTTAAGAGCAGTAACAACGTTTAAAGAACAGAGAACCATGTGTTTGCTTTGGTGATCGTAAGGCTTTACGCAATCGACAGGAGAACGGGCATAGGATATGTCCCGCTGGACATCCCCGGAAAACGCTATGTGATCCCTGCAAGATCCATATGCATGAGAAGTGGCGGTATTTTCTTGAATTATATGGATGAGTAGTTTTGGGTTAATCCACTTTATGGTAAATCACCATTTGCTGATGATCTATGTTTATTTAAGAAATTTATTTACTGATCGGGACAGGACACTGCTTATGTTCAGCCATTTGGCGTATAAGTCATCATATACGGCGTCGCTTACTGTTCTTATCCGATTCAAAATAATCTGTTCCCCTAAGACCAAAATTGTGACTAACATACGACTAATAGCTATTCGCTAGGCTTGAGTAACTGGAGCGTTTCAGACGCCGTCATGTGTCCGGATAAGTCATCAGGGAAGCAACGTAGCATTCAAATAGGGTTTTTCGCATGCGATCCGCAGGAAAAATGCAACAGTATATTGTATACGTAGTGACCAAAAGAGGGCTTGTTTGGGAAAAATAAAAACTCGCTGCTTGAAGGTCAGCACCGAGAAATTTGAAGAACACAGGTCATTGTCAGCTAATAATACACAATCTGGGATTTGCTCACCTGCGGTTGTTTTCTGAATGAGCTTCGATATCAGTACCCATAATTTTGGCACACAGAGGCCAGCTTCGTGCAGTTGGATGGATATCGTCTCAGCAAACGAAAACAGTCTAGTTCGTACAGACATTGGAAGTCTTCTGAAACTTGGCACACAACTCGAAAGCCTTTGGTAAAAGAGACACGACCATTCATTATCATCATTGTCAGCAGTAAGAACCGCGTACTCGT